CTGTGTGGAAAATAAATAAAGAATACATAAACTCTCGCGTTGTCACAAGAGAATGTACATTTATATACTCATTTAATATATTTAAAATATTTGTAATAATTAAATATAACTGTATTACTATATATATATAACTATATATCACATATATGCATTTATAAGTAGTCACCACCTCAAACTGTGCTGTCAGTTTACACAATTCTCGTTGTTTATGCTAGCAAAATATTGAAAGGCTTTTATTGCGAAAGTACACAACGTGAGCCGGAAGTGGTTTTCGTTGCTAACGCTACTGTTTGTAGCATGTGGAAAATAGGTACATGTGTTTTGAGCCGGTAATAGTCGTTTTTGTTTTTTTCCCTGACCCGAATTAAACGGACGTTGACCATTAATTCAACATTATAGCGGTGTTAGCTTCCACACCGCTATAACATTAGCTCTCCTTTGGTTACTGATGAACGCTCCTCGAGCTTACCTCACGTGGGGCTTCCAGCTAACGTCTGTCGTAACTTGATGCAAACTTTCATAACAGGTTCTGTAACTCATTTACCCACCGAATGACCTGCGGGTAAATGTGATTTTCCGGTATAGTTGTACTACCTGACGGGATGTCTGCGCCTTGTCGGTACGCTCTGTTCAGCATATATAATCAGCGAGCAGGTTTCACACAGGTCAGAAGATTGACATGCATCCAGTGGAAGAGCTCTGACTCCCCGATGAGAGGTGGATACACAGCCGTACTGAGAGCTATGGCAAATAAGAGAGGAAGCCTCACTTTATTTTCTTCGAGGTGCCTGTCAGGTTCAGCTGCGGATGCAAAAGCTCGGGTCAAGAGAGTTTCTATCGAGGGCAACATCGGTAAGAGTTTACAGATTGTCCCAGTTAGACTAATCTTATGTTGTATGTCTCTGTGCTGATCTCCTGCATTACCTGCTTTTTAATAACAGCTGTTGGAAAATCGACTTTTGCGAAACTCCTGCAGTCAGCTTGTGCAGACTGGGAGGTGGTGGCAGAACCTGTCAGCAAGTGGCAGAACATTGAGAGTGAGACATCAAAGGTGGGTATATTCACATCTTCATCTTTTTTGTTACAGAAATTAAAGGAAGGCAGGATGATACAGCTTACATTTGTCTGCTCGTGTCTTTGACAGGGCCAAGGTGTGCCCCCACAGACCACAGTCAGCAACCTGCTGCAGATGATGTACCAGGACCCTCAGCGCTGGTCATACACGTTCCAGACGTATTCCTGCATGAGCCGGCTCAGAACACAGCTGCAGCCTCCACCTGCACGCCTCCTCCAGTCAAAGGGAACACCTGTCCAGGTGTATGAGCGTTCAGTCTACAGCGATAGGTGAGTGAGTCACATTTACCAGAAGTATTTTCAACAAACTTATCAAAAATTTTGACAAGGATATATTGAAAATGAATTCTCCTGTATTATGTTTTCTCAGATATATCTTTGCTCTGAACATGTTTGAGCTGGGATGTATCAACACTACAGAATGGGCCGTCTACCAGGACTGGCATTCCCTCCTGGTGGAGCAGTTTGGACACCAGATGGAGCTAGAGGGCATAATTTACCTCAGCGCCCCACCAGAGGTATGGCACATGAAATTCAGTATTTTGTGCTCTGAGTGGAAGGTAATTTAGTGTCACACAAACAGTTTTGCATGTCTTTTAGAAATGCATGGAGCGCCTGCAGCATCGGGGAAGAGCAGAAGAGGAGGGCGTGAAGCTGGATTATCTGGATAAGTTGCACTCTCAACATGAGAGGTGGCTGGTTGAGAAAACGACCGAGTGAGTGAGAATAAGATTACACAGCTCTGATTATCTTTTGACTTTTTCCAGTGCTGTTGGCTGTTTTGGGGTGATACTTCAAGGTATATTTGGTCTTATAAGCCTTTTTACAGGGGGTCTCAACCCTGCAAATTCTGGGGGTCAACTGTACAATGAAGAAGGACCTGGGGCTTGGTGACATAACTTAAGGTTTAACCCCAGATTTTCTGGATTATGTGATTTATTGCCATCGTAATTTATTGCCATCGTAATTTATGCCGCACGCCTAACCAGAGGGGTGTACTACGAAAGAAGTTCAACAAAGCCAGGCTGTTTCAGGCATCATGTGACTCATCTTCCACACAGAAAGAGCCCTATAAGTGGCACTTACTCCAATCACGGATGTTATCAGATGATATTCATAAAATAGTGTTACAAAAATACAGTAAAATGCAACACTGTGACAAATAAGACAAGACTTTAATGCTGCAGAAAATTGTTAATCTGGTGAATTAACACAGTGTTAAGAATTTAAAAAAAAAAAAAAATGAGTTAATAGATATATTTTAATGCTGAGGGCACTCTTGTTTTTAAGGTGATCATTCAGTTTTTTTAAAAATATAATAATAATTATAATATAATGCCAAATCACAACAGTCGTCTTGAGGCACTTTGTATTGTAAGGTAAAGACCCTACAATAATAGAGAGAAAACTTCAACAATCAGACTATGAGCAGGCACTTGGTGATGGTGGAAAGAAAAAACTTCCTTTTAACAGGAAGAAATCCCTGGCACAACCAGGCTCAGGGAAGCATGGTCATCTCCCACGAGAGGTGAGGGGAGAAAAATGGAACAAAAGACACACATTAGAGCTCTGGAATATAAGGTGAAATTAATTTGGTCTATTATATAAACATTCTTGGTGCATGTTCTGCGTTCTATTAGCTGCAAAAGTAAATTAGAGTCAAGCGTAAAGACCTTTATACATTTTCTGCATGACCAACAGAATACTTGCATCCAGTTACCATGTCATGCACAGTTAGCTCCACCTTGTTACTAAGGTAAAACATGTTCCCCCAGCACTCTGCATTGCACTCAAAGCTGTAAATAATCAAATAACTGAAAATTGTGGCGCTTCCAGGTGAGTTTAATGAGAAACTCTGAATGTGGTATGTGCTCAGTGTAGGTTAGCATGGCGATGTAGCCAGGTAAAAAGAGACTCGCCTTTGTGATACTGAGAACTCTGACTTTAAGCTGGAGATAGCCCGCTATCCCGTTAGTCTCCCTCTCCATTATGCTTACAAGTAAAAAAGAGAAACTACACAAAGTAGTGATATCTAGCTGGTCTAAACTTTCTACTTTGAAACACAGTGGTGGCACAGTGCTTGCGTTCAGGTTGCTTGCAGCTGTTTGCTGTGAACAGCTGACGGTTCAGCAGTGTGTGGTCTGCTGTTAATGTCATAAAGTGCGTGATACAGCTTTGTTCTCTCCTTTCAGAATCCATTTTGAGAAGCTGAAGCAGATACCCGTCTTAAAACTTGATGCCAGCGTGGAATTTAAGAGTGACCCAGAGGCGCAGGAACAGTTTATCACGAAGGTGTGCTTGAATACCTACTGAATGGCATTTATTCCTAAAAGGTGCTGTGCCAGAGTTAACCACACGAGGGCACTGCTCTGATGTTGTGAATCACAATCTTTCACCCACCCAAACACCTTCACATGGGGCATGTGAAGGTGTTTGAGCCAGTCAGCTGACATGTCTTTGTATGGATGATGTTTAATGTGTTTCTGATATGCTGTGATCCTAGTATGCCTGTTTGTCCACAGGTGAAGAACTTCTTTGATGCTTTATGAGAGGAGCCATCAGCAGCAGCACAGTGGGAAACAGATGAAACCAGCCAGACCTCCATATAAAGTCTTTATATAGATTAATACACAGACCTCTTTTTGATCAGCTTCTGGACCATATGATGTGAAACCCTGACACTTGAATGAATGAATACTTTAAAACCTTGTACTGTTATTTCCTGGTTACTTTTGAAACACACTTTGCAGTTATGAACATTACCACTTAAACTGTAGTTTACTGTTTATGTCTTTGGAGCTGTCTCTCTGAGTCAGCACACTTTTACAGCTTCTATAAATTATAAACTAATCTGTACTAGAACTGAAATTCACACAGTGTGTGTCTGTGTACTATTTTATAAACATATTTATAATCCTAACTCGTTGGAACAAGCAATTAAGACAAATGTTTCTTGCAGCTTGTTAATAAATAAAACATGTTTTTACATTTTAACGTTGAGTTGTCATTTTATAGTAGTCATTTTATTCTTATAAACTTTATTTGCATTAAGGAAATAGAAGGGTGCAAATTGCTGTGCAAGATTTTAATTGTTTTTAAATTGATTTTTGAAAGAACAGTTCATTTGATGGGACAATGACCTTGGATAAATGCTTTCTTCTTCTTCTTTTTCTGGCCCTCTGATGTGCTCTGATGATCAGAGGGGCTGTTCGGATGCCTGGAGTGGCCAGGGGTCATCAAAGGGCAGCTGGCGGCTATAAAAGGCCTGCCTGGAGCTCCGTCTGCTCAGAGCATCATTTGAGCCTGAGAGCAGCTGGAGTAAAGGAGGAGATCTCTGCTTCTCTCTCTTCTCATTCCGGTGTTCACTTTGTGAGTTTCAGCTAAAATGGAAGTCCTGATAGTTTTCATCTGTGCTTTTGGAGTGGTTTCTTCTGCCCGGGGCCACAGATATCACACGGGACTCGAGAGCAGTTTGGCATTCAGAAATCTGTCAGCCGATCATCGCAGCGGATACCCTCTGTACATGATGCAGCTGTATCGCTCCTTCAGAAGTGCTGATTCCTCCTCATCGGTAGCTGTCAGCGACGTTACTGCACAAAGCGACAGCCTGTCAGTGCACAGTTTTGATTCTGTCAAAAGCCTGATGGCCAGAGGTGAGTAAACAGCTGAATTATGTTTTTCATGTTGCTCGTTGGTTGTTAAATTTGCTATTTAATGTACGAGTTGGTTTCTCTGTGCACTGAATCCTCCAGGAGCTCTTTGACTGGTCGATTGTCTGTGCTATCAGACCCTCCCTTTTACGACCCAGCAAGTGTCAAAGTGCTTATTCGAACTTTAAAGGCTTGCCCTGTTTTATGTGGGGAGGTTGTATATTAGCCCTCAGACGTCCTTGCACAGGGGGGTCCAATACACATCCTGTCCTGTTCACCCTCTCACTCCAGTGTTTTGACATTTGTCCACAGATCTGGTTTGTCCAGATTCATCCCAGACTGCAGTGTGTGAATCTGAAGTCTCACTTGCGTGTCTCATTTTCAGGCTGCCATCAAGAGGGCGAAAAGTGGACCGTCACATTTGACATGTCATCCATCTCTACCAGTGAGCTTGTCCAGCTGGCAGAGCTGCAGATCAGACTACCAGCTTTCTCTGCCTCTGAGCGTGCCACTGTGGATTTATATCACTCCCGGAAGCAGAGCTGTGACCTGGATGACACATCGTGCCAGGAGGAGCGTCTTTTCTTAGGGAGCTTTGGCACATCGCCCAGCAGCACAAAGTCCTCCTGGAAGGTGTTCAATGTGACCAGTCTTTTAAAATACTGGCTATACCAGGGAGACGAAGTGCAGAGCCGAGAGGCTTCGGGAGAGCCTGAGACTCAGTATGGGAGTGGTGCTGGGGATGGAGTGGAGAAAACCAGAAAGTCTCTATTCACAACTTTAGGACTGAGGCAGAGAAAAATCCCCCATCCAACCACAAACCAGGTCATGATGGTGATCTTCTCCAAACATAAGGAGGGCCATGCAGCGTACAGTCTCATTCACACTGTGGAGAACTCCAAGTATGTGTCCATGGACAAAGAGGGCAGCGACATTCAAAGTCGGCGCCACAAAAGGAACAGAATGGAAAGGATGCGAGTAGCTGGTGTACCTGCACCTACTGTGGCTCCAGCACCATCAGCAGCAGCAGCAGCAGAGCAGGTCCAGAGACCGCTGTGCCGAAAGGTAGACATGTGGGTGGACTTTGACCACATCGGCTGGGATGAGTGGATTGTGCATCCGAAGCGCTACAACGCATATCGCTGTGAGGGAGAGTGCCCTACACCCCTGGACGAGTCGTTCAGTCCCACCAACCATGCATACATGCAGGTAAGCTCGCAGATTAAAGAGTTTCACTGAACTATTTCTAAACTCAAAATAAAAAAATCCTATAGTTGCTCATTTATTCGTGTAAATTATTTCATTTTCAGAGCCTCTTGAAACATCACCACCCAGAAAGAGTGACCTGCCCGTCCTGCGTGCCAACGCGCCTCAGCCCCCTCTCCATGCTGTACTTTGAGAACGATGATTTGACTCTGCGGCATCACGAGGACATGATTGTTGAGGAGTGCGGGTGCCACTGAAGCCCCCACCCCATCACCGCCCCAGCTTACACCTAAACACACAGACCTGCTTTGTTTGCGGTCTATTAACTGAACATTAACCGACCATAAACTTTAACTCAGATGGGGTTTTTTTAATTGCTTCGATGTATAAATGAATACTAAAATATCAATGTTATTAAGATGAAATGACTCAACGTATATATATTTCATCCATACTGGGTGATAAACTAATATTTTTCTATCTTTTGTGTTATTTATGCATTATCATGTAAATTCTGTACATAAAATATGAAACGTATATTAAAATTTTTTATTTTGACGTAAGTGTGCTGTTTTATGTTGTTTTAAAATATTTTTCTTCACCCGTTTGTATATATTTTTACTTATAAGGTGAACATTTTTAACAAACCCTTTATTAAACATAAAAAAAAGGCTCATACATATTCACAAAGGTTTTTTTTCCTAATTCAAAGTTAAATGAAAATGTATTTATTTAGTTGAAAATAAATCACGCCTCATTTATTTGTAAAAATTAAATATATATATCAGCACCACCGGTTTATCTGGTGTAAGCTTTAAATAGCATTTAATTTGTTGCCACTTCCATTAAATCTCCCAGTAGTAGCTACAAAGCTAAACGGGCACACTTTGTTCTTAATGTTCCTCGGATGACAGATCTGTTTGGGTTAACAAATAAAAGGCAGAGTGTGCATCCACCTCTTAATCCGTTGCTAGCATCCAGCAACTTAGTATATTGGCCTTTCTCACCTCCCCAATCCACATCTTGGTCCTGTTAAAGTGCACACATCATCAGAGGTCATTAGCGTCGTCCTCCCTGGCCGGGCACGCTGGGTGGAACAACGCAAACCACACTGAAGGATGGACCGGTGGGTGAGAAAAGGCAGTACTACTTGTTTATCCTGGTGAGGAGGGGGTTGGACAGCCAGGAAGCTGAGGTGACAAGGAGATCATTCATGGGAGGGAGTAGAAAGACTGCACCTGAAGGGTGACGCTACTGTGGAGGAAAGACAGGCCGGACTGGAAGTGATCAGCTGAAACTATTCAATCCACACATCCACCCAAGACAAGACCAGACCGAGTAGTATTTCAGGATTTGTCCACGTGTTTTTCTTTTCTTTTCTTTCCTGGTTTTTTTTTTTTTTTTTTGCAAAAGGAAAGTTTGCAAACAAGAACCTTTTTTTTGGCACTCACTACAAATGAACCCGGAGCGCATCCATTTTTAATCCACTCAATGATTTGAGCTTTATTTATATTTATTCTAATGATGATTCTCTACAGAGCCGCTTACACCACAGGCTGAAAGTAGAAACGCATTTGTACAGTCTCGCACATGCAAGAGTATTCATAACGAAAGAGTGTTTTATTGCTACAGCGCTGTGCAAAAGTCTTGCACCACCCCTTATTTCTTCATATTTGGCAAGGACAGTGGGAAACAGTTGCAGTGATTTATGCATTTAGGCTACATGCAAACATACATAAAAATCCAGCAGCAAAAAACTGAATTGTACAATTCTAACGAATTTGAAAGTCAATATTTGTTATGAGCACCTTTATTCTTTGACACAGCCTGAACCCTTTTTGGCAGCTTTCTTGTTATTTCTTTAAGTAGTCTTCAGGAATAGCTCTCCAGGCTTCTTGAAAGACATTCAAAGCTCTTCTTTTATATTCTCTGTCGAGATACCACACTGCTTCAGTAATATTGAGGTCTGGGCTCTGTGGAGGTCAGTCAGTGACTGATTGTGTATCACAGCGTGTTTCTCTATATGGCATTGATTTTACTCTGTATGTATCAAAAAATCTGACAGGACTTTTCTGTGTTCAGAATTATTTCAGTTTTGATGAGATTTCCAACACCACACATAACTCCAAAACCCATGACAGAGCCTCCACCCTGTTTCACAGATGGCTGTAGACACTCAGTGTTGGACTCTCCTGTCCTCCTTTGTACACAGTGATGATTTGAACCAAGACATCTGTATTTATCACTCTGTCACACCTGTTGACACAGATCTTCAGTCCACTTTTTGTACCACAGCCTTTCCTCCACTTCCCTTCTTAAATGATGGCTTCTTCACAGCTGCCTTCCACTGAGATCATTCCCGGTGAGGCTTCAGTGGACGGTAGATGGATCAACTGCAGGGTCAGATACATCTCTGCGTCAGGTTTTTGCGAGATTATCTATTTCTTGGGAACATTACTTTCACTTTGGAATAACTTTGTTCGTGCAAAAAATACAATGTTAACACTGTCTGTTAAACTGTGTTACCTTTGGGATTTTTCATCGATCCAATTGAAATTTGTTTTAGTAACGAAAGCTTTTAACAAAGTGCCAAAAGACACAAATTAAAACTGGTTCTTTGTTCAAGAGCATTTTAAAACATTATAAAAAAGTCTGGAATCAAAACTTAAAGAAATGAGTGTTGGCTTTAAACTTCGCACATTACTGGATGCAAGATTTTAAAAATGTGAAACATCTTTTAGATCAAACAATGAGAAGTTCAGTGAAACACCATCTATTCCGGCACATTTATTCATAAGCAGTTCACAGTGAAGCGAATCAACAACGTGCCAGTGACAGAAGTGGAATCGTAAATGTTGAATGGAAGGAAGGAGTTCCTGCCTGATGTGTTGTACAGTTGCATATTGACCTCTCTGTAAACAGCCCACTGACTGAGGTTATCAGCCTCCTGCGAGCTCAACGTGGAATTCCTCTGAACCAGAGTGACGCAGGAGGTGCAGCAGGCTGCAAGACTTGTCACTTTGAAATGTATATTAGCTTTTCACTTAAACATCTAAACCGCTGACATTATTTGATTTCAGATGGCGCCATTCAAGTTCGAAAAAACACAACTGATTTGACAGAAAGACTCAGTGAACACATGACGCAGAGATAAAGTCTGAATGGTGTTTGCTTTAATTTCTTTTTTAAAATCACCATAAAATAGCGAAATATCTGATTCAAAATGTCATCAACAAATTTCTGTTTTACATTCTTTACACTTCAGGTGAAGCGCTCGTTTATGAGAGCAATACTGGAAGACCGTATCTAAAGAGAGGTTTTGCACTGAAATAAAAGCACATCGAGTGAAAACCGTTCTGGAATGGTTAGAAATTCGGACAATTCGATTCTCATTTTCACTGACTTGTTTTATTACCGAGCGATGAGGCATTGTTGGTGTTAAGCACTTCTCAGTGTTCGTTTTAAACTCGCAGCCACTACCTGAAGGCACACTTTTTGTTACACACAAACCAGGCCGAAACCTTGAGGCAGACAGTAAAAGTGTAATTACAGATCCAAAAAATGAAGCCGACAGAGATAAGATCCTGTCTACATGGAGTAGGTGGTGGTAGGGGGGGAGACGGTACCCCTCTCTTCACAGCACTTTGTTGGGCTTCACCTAGATGTCCATTTCAAACTGTGCGTCATCACCTTTGAAAAGAAAAATAAGTAAACAATAAATGTAGGGTGGAGATGGATGATGATTTGTAGGCTTCAGCGCTGTATTGCTCGCATGGGTTCTACATCATAATGCAGAAAATAGATGGATGGACTTAAAGTGCAACATCCATCCTGTGATGTGTGTATAGGTGTGAACATACCAGCAGTGCTACTGTTCGGAGCAGCGGTGTTGTTGTTCAGTAGTTCTCCATTTTGAGTGTTCTTGCGGGTGTCCTTGGAGGCAGGGCTGGTCACTCCTGGAATGACTGGCAGGTTGGCAGGAGGGGTCCTGGCCAACGGAGAACTGCGACAGTCCAGCAGGAACTTGCGTTCGTAGATGATCCTGGTACCTTTTGTGATCGCAGGTGGGAAAAATAAAGGATGATTATCAGATGCGCAGCATTGAGAGATCAAACAGAGCACTGAGGCCACACTCGCACTGACTGGGATCAGCTGCTTCATCAAATTCCTGTATTTTAACTTGACCTGTGTGCCACAATAGACGTGATTACAATATGAAAACAGGCATTTCTTCAAAATCTTGCTGTCTGTACTTGATCTTCACGCAGTAACTAGAAGGACGTTGCAGCATATATGTGGCAATGTTATTACTAATTATGCTGCTGCTCTCTTACGGCTGTTGTTATGACCTGCAACGCTTCAGCTGTTGTATATTATGTATACTGTCGCACAATGAGCCAGTCTGAATGAACACAGCACACACTCCTTGGCAGTGATGCGATGGCTTCCAGTTGTGATAACGAAGATTTACTTTCTGCTTTAACGCAACTAAACTTGAAGAAAAGCTTTGTGACGAAAAGCTTTGTGAACAGCAAAGTGTACAGTTAATAAACACAGTTTTAACATTTGGTGCAAAAGGAACATGTGCCCTTTTTAAGGCAGTATGTTATATTTGCACATTCGCCTAACAAACAAAAGTCCCTTATGCTACGGGTCAGAATTAAATACGTCCCACTGACTCAGAGAAATTGGTCCATGCTTTCATATCAAGCAGGTTAGATTATTGTAACACTCTATTTTTAGGACTGTCCAAATCATCAACATGACAGCTTCAGGTCATTCAACCAGATTCCTTACAGCTACACAGAAATCTGACCACATTACCCAGTAGTGAAATCACTTCATTGGCTTCCAGTACAATATAGAATTGCTTTTTAAATCCTTCTGTTATCTCACAAATCTCTCACCGGTTCATGCCCTGCTCATCTGGTGCAGATCTTGTAACTGTTCCCAGAGTCAGACCTCAGTCTGAGGTTGCTCTCATTACTGGGGTCCTGCTCTTTGGAACAAGCTGCCTGCTGATCTGAGATCAACTACAACTGTGCACATATTCAGAATCCTATTTATTTACCTGGGCTTACACTTAACAGGTGCTGTTGTTTTGTTTATGCTGTTTTCACTGGCATAAAGCCTCATAAACCTGCTCAGGTATGATTTTGTCTTCTTTTTTTCAGGAAAATGATTTATTTAATCTTGCTGTCTGCTGCTATCAGACTCTTTAACTCATCCACTTGAGTCAGATCCACATGTACTGAAAC